TAATGCCAGTAGACCATCAAACACAAATTATTTCCACAGGTTTTTCAATATTAGTTTTTTGTTTCTTGCATAGCTTCTCGTTTTTCTCCACACTCTCACACACTTGCATTTGCCAACATGTGATAAATCAGACCAAGCTGAGTCTGAATGACATATTCCCCCTGCGCCACATCTAAGAGTACACTATACATCACCTGTGTGTGTGTGTGTGTGTGTGTGTGTGTGTGTGTGTGTGTGTGTGTGTGTGTGTGTGTGAGAGAGATCAGGTCCTTGGGGATTTGCAGCCTCATTATGCGCATAATGTTTGTGAAATTATATATATTTTTTATTGAATAGCACGTTGATGAATATTAAACTTTCCAATCCACAGTATTTTGAATCAACTTCCAATTTCCTGTGAAAATGTCTATCATTAAATAGTTTGAATGTTCCCACGACTGATGGTCCACCAAGTTATATTTTATAACTTGATATCGCTGCTTTGTCGGTTGGACAATATACATTGAAAATTGAAATGCACTCACCATACCATTCTTAAATTAGTTTTTAAAGATGAAGACACTGCCAGCAGCCAATTGTATTCGCTTAGTTTAAAGACCGCAGCAAAAGGGAAACTCATCTGCCAACCAGCACCTCTTAAGTCTTCATCTTCACATTGAAGGTTGTTGGGATGAGCCCAGTTATGTCAAGCTTTGTTTACATTAAAGGTTTTTACACCGATATGTAAAATTAAATATACATGAAGTGGAGAGTAGTACACCATACTGTTCACACGCCATCCACACAACTTCAGAAGAGACTATCTGACTTTTTACACAGATGATAAATTGCATCTCAGACGACACATCTAAGTGGAAGAAGATTTAAAATCATCTAACAGACTTTCAGATGTCACTGTAAATCTACAATGTTGCAAGTTAATCATGAAGAGCATAGATTATTCTATGTATTGTCAAAGAATAAAGATGCACATGTAAATATGAACGTATAAATAATAAATATGTTTATGATAAAGGAGAGGAATACTTTAAAAGGGAGCACATGTTTTCCTCTATGTGTTTATATGAAATAAACATCTGAGAATGGGAAGGAGTGCGTGTGTGTGTGTGTGTGTGTGTGTGTGTGTGTGTGTGTGTGTGTGTGTG